CGGGGGGGGGGGGGTCGGGGAAACACCGCTTAAGTGGAGAGAAAAAAACATCTTAAATGGGGGGAGAAACGCTTAGAGAGCGGGAAAATACAGCTTATATAGGGAGGAAACAGGATCTTAAATTAGGGTAAAAACGCTGCGTGGAAGAGGGGAAAAATCCGGGTTCGGTGGGGTTGCGGGGGAGGGTTCCCGCTCCCAACACGACCCGTTTTTGCTGCTTTGGAAACGGCTTTTCCTGGGGCAAAACGCCCCCGATTTACCCCGCGAAGCAGCGCCGGGGCCGGGCCCAACGCGCAGCCCCCGCGGCAGGATTTGCCCGATGCCAAAAATGCCGAAAATAACCCGGAATACGTATTTATATGCGTGTAAATAGAGATTTTTTTAAAAAGCTAGAAACAGCCGGGGGCAGGGCCGGAGCCCAGCGCAGCCCTTTGGCGAGCAGGAACTTTGGGGGGGGGAATCGCCTTCCCGGGCCGGACCCGGTTTTTCCTCTTTGAAAAATCTCGTGGCTTAAACTTTCGGGCCTTTCCCGGGAGCAAACGGGGCCGGGACCCCCGGTCGGGTCTGGATCCGGCCCCTTCCCGGGCGCTGCCGCTTTCCCCGGGAACCGGAGCCCCGGGTTCCCTGTTTTAAGGCTGTTTCCCTGCTCGGGCAGAGCCGGGATTTCTGGTTGAAGGGTTTCGCTCCCCGGTGGCTCAATTAACCGGATTATTGTCTTCCTACAGAGAGCCACGGGCTCGCGTTCGGAGCAGCCCTGTCCCCACCATCTCCCGCAAATTTAACATAAACCCCCGTAAAAAAAAAACAAACCCAAACCCCCAACCAACCAAAACAAACAACCAAACGCCGCCGATTTGTATAAACCGAGGCTTTTTTTTTTGCCACATGAATCTCTACCGGGACTACGGGGAAGGCGAGCACAAACAGGGATTTCATTTTTCTCACTTGGTTTTTGGTTGTTTTGTTGTTGCTTTTTTTTATTATTTTTTTTTTTTCTATTCGGTGATTATTTTTTGTTCGTCTTCCCTCACTAACGTTTCGGGGCGGAAATCCCCGCGTGGCTCCGCGGGTGCGTTGGTACCGACCGGGCTGAAGAACCGCGGCCAACGCGGCTCCTTCGGTGATGTTGAAAGATGATGAAGGTCGGGGCAGGGGCTCCCGCAGCCCCTTCCCCAGGATTTCGTTGCACACCCCGGAGAGGGGAGGTTTGTTCCGTGCCCCGGCAGCATCCCCGGGAATAGGGAGGTTTCTCCGAGGAAAGGGGGAGAAGCAGCACCCCAGCTCCACCGTCCCCCCGCGAATTTGTCCTCCGAAAATGTGGGGTTCACCATTTGTTTATTGATTTTTATTTTATTGGGAGGGGGGGGGTGGTTTAGTTTGGGGTTAGAAAAACAAACAAACAAAAGGGGTGGGGAAGAGGGGAAAGACGGGGGGGAAAAATCCCAAAGCGTTAAGGAAGCTGTTGGGTTTTGGGGAATAATCAGGATATAAGCAGGGTCCTGCCCCGTGAGAGAAAACGAGGGGTGAAGGGGAAGCTGGGGGGGGTTCCGGGCAGGAGAGCGGGGGGGTCGGGCCGGGATCCGCTCCCCTGGGACAGGGAAAGGTCGGACCCGGATCGGGGACCCC